ACCCAACTGAGGGTGTTCTTTGCCTGCAACTGCATCCGCAGGACGTTGCTGAACCGGATTATGGACTGGATTATGGTGGAAACTCCATGTCACGTTTCTTCCTATTGCCCCTCTGGAGGTCCCACGGATGGGACAAATGGAACAGTTCCATCCCCTACAACTGGGACACTCCTTGGTACTACTTTGACACTTTTAAGTTCATCAAGGAGCAGGGGCTACATAGAGTCAACCCTGACTTGTGGAAACCAAGGGCTATCTACAAGCTGATTAGAGCAAAAGACATTTTGGAGTTGGTTCCAGGCCTACCTTCAGCCACTTGCAAGGTGGTCTGGTGGAATGTTTCTTCAAAGAGACTCACCAACAGGCACAAGGACTTGTCATGGATGGCAATCCAAGGGGGGTTGCCACTCAGAACATTTATGCATGCCAGGAACCTGAGCAGATACAGACACTGCCATTTTTGCATCATCCACGAGGAAACGGCTCAGAACGTTTTCTGGGAGTTCTCTTTTGCTCAGGACCTGTTGATGGGCTTGGAACCAAAACTCAAAGACTTTGTGCAACAGGCAGCCATCACATAATTAGGTGTGTTGAACGGACTTTTCTGCGGGACTTTTACCCTGGAGGACATTGACGGCGCCTGGCGGGTGCTGTGTTGTTTTAAGGAAGCTTTATGGTGCGCCAAGAAGCACCTCATCCACCAGCGGGCGATTAAGTCCATTGAGGACTGTTGCAGACTGCTCCTCAGTTTGCTCAGAAAAACTTGATGGACTTTAAGGAGGAAGAGGACGTCTGAGGGTCTCCTCTTCCCCCTACTATCCCTTGTGTGTCTTTGTCTTTTCAATAAAGCTTCGGGCCTGTGAACTCTTTCCCCCTTCCCTCCTTCCCATCCCCCCCAACACACCCGATGCTTGTTTGAATTGGTTTATTTGGTAATGTTTCTGCATGTTATGGTTATGTGGTGCTGCCATGTGGGATGTGTGGGACAGGGGTTTAACCCAGGCACTGCACATCTGACATTGCACTACCAGGATACTCTAGTGGAACCTTAAGGGGCCACAACCAGTCTCAGCATAAGTGGCGTCATACATGATGTGATGGTCTGGGGAATTTGTCTGCCGTGCACATCACGTTTTTTTTTTTTGTAAGTCCGCAAACGTGCAACTATAACGAAAAACCCGTAAGTGTTGTGCAAGTGCAAAACACCACACGAAAAAGTGCACTTAGGGGTGTGCTTTAGTCCTACCCCTAAAGGGGCTTGGACAACTACCCTGATCCCCCGGGGCACAAAGCTCCTGACAGGGACAAGGTTCCCAATTGGTCCTCCTGGCCAAAAGGCCTGGTGGACCACCGTTCCTTGTGTCCAGCCGAAGCCGGACACCCAGTACTTGGTCAGGGGGCTCTCCTGGAGAGAAAACCCCCTAGGGATCAGGGGAGGAAGGAACCAAAAGGCCACACATCCTCCCCCTAGACTTCAGGCAAGGCCCAAGGACCCACACCCTCCATCCTGTGAAAAACACACACAAAAGTAAGAAAAAGTGACAAAACGTGGGAGGTGAATAAATTAAATAAATAAAAAATAAAAAAGTGGTCGTGCCAAATTGTGCACAGACCAGGCCCTGAAGCTTGTAGCAAAAATTGCCCTGATCCTAGCCATAAGGCCTGGTCTTAAGGGCGCTGTGCAGAAAAAGTGGTAAATCAGTGACAATGTGCCATCTTCACACTGTGGGGTCCCACACCCAGGTGTTACTAGTGGCACCCCTGAGGCGACAACTCAGGGGGCACTGGTTTGCGGACTCTCTGCCTTCCCGACCCCTGGCCAGACAAGGTAGATCCGTCCAAATCAGGAGGTACTGGGTCTTTCCGGTCTTCTCGGGGGAATACTCACGGGCCCCAGCTTCTACTCGTGGGCACCACTCTTTCTATCCCTCCGGTAGCCTTCCGGACCCCCATCATACCAGTGAGGGTACTATACAACAGCCATCCCCGCAAAGCTAGAATGGCCGGGAGCACCCCCACTGGACACTGATAAGAACAGATACTACACTTGATCTTGGCCAAAAGGCCGAGAAGCCATGTGGGATGTGTGGGACAGGGGTTTAACCCAGGCACTGCACATCTGACATTGCACTACCAGGATACTCTAGTGGAACGTTAAGGGGCCACAACCAGTCTCGGCATAAGTGGCGTCATGCATGACGTGATGGTCTGGGGAATTTGTCTGCCGTGCGCATCACGTTAGTCATCATACCGCTGAGTGAATGTATTTATTGTACGGTTGGAACTGTATTGTCATGTGGTGTATTAAGCGCTGCGTCGCAGTACAGGGTGAGATGTACCCCAACTAAAGTACCTTGTTTTTTATACTTATGTAAAAAATAAAGTATATTTTAAAAAAAAAACAAAAAACAAATTCTGTTCTTATCAGTTTAATATCTGATATGTACCCTATAGAAAAAAAAAAAAAATGATGATAAGTAACAACAGGTGGTGCGTGGGAGGAGCTATGCAAATATCAAACCGCTTAGATGGGTGTCTATCTAAAGGAGTGGGCATTCCTAGGCAGGCTGTATTTGCATGCTTTAGGTAACAACCACATGTGATGCTGATCCTTCATGGTTCAACTGTTTGCCTCTATGCAACCCTTGGGGCACCATTCCATCTGCAACTGACACCCATGATGGGGGTGCTATTCCTCCCACTGAACAATGGGGCAGTATTACTACACTAAAACCAATAGATGAGGCATCCCACTGGGATGCTCCCAATGGATGGTCCTCCTAAAGTCAGAAACACATTAAACTGTCCCTTTGATTAGAAACGTTTTGAGACCCCTGGCTTATATACACAATGGAACCAATGCACCTCCAAAGCACCTTCAAGAATGAGCATTTATTAAATGTTCTAGTCCAGTTCTATGGTGTTAATTTCATTGCCTCAAAGGGTCAGTTGTAGCTGGGGTGCAGTATGTACAGAGTGCAGGGTTCAGGGGCACACTATGTTGCAGAGTTAAGGGGTGTGCTAAGTACAGAGTGCAGCTCCAGGGGTGTGCAGTGTTCAATGCACAAAGTACAGAGTTCAGGGGTGCACTATCTACAGAGGCAGGGTTCAGGAGTACGTTATATGCAGAGTTCAGGAGTATGCTACATAAGGAGAGAAGAGTTCAGGTGTAGTATGCTACTTATAGAGTGCAAAGTTCAGGGTGTGGTATGCTCAGAGTGCAGAGTTCAGGAGTACACTACATACAGAGTGCAGAGTTAAGGGGTGCCCTATGCACGGTGTGCAACTCAAACTCCCCTGCCAGATTCAGGCTGCAAAACTGGGTGCGAAGACCAAGTGAAAAGGCCTTTTTTTTTTTTTTCTTTTCCTTTTAAGCCTGCGAACGTGCGCAAAACGAAAAACCCGTAAGTGTTCACAAAAAACATGCAAGTGCAAAACACCACACAAAAAAGTGCACTTAGGGGTGTGCTTTGTCCTTCCCCCGAAGGGGATGGACCTCTACCCTGATCCCCCGGGGCACGAAGCTCCTGAAAGGGACAAGGTTCCCATGTGGTCCGCCTAGCCAAAAGGCCTGGCGGACCCCGTTCCTTGTGGCCAGCCGAAGCCAGCCACCAAGTACTTGGTAAGGGGGCTCTCCCGAAGAGAAAACCCCGTAGGGACAGGGGAGGAAGGAACCAAAAGGCCACACATCCTCCCCCTAGACTTCAGGGTAGGATCCACACCCTACCATCCTGTGAGAAACGAAAACACACACAAAAGTGAAAAGGCCTGGTGGGCCAGATACAGCCTGTGGGCCTTGTGTTTGGCATATGTGTCCTAGTCATTTAGGTGTACCTAGATCAGCATGATGTCCAAGGACCTTCCTGCTAGTGGTGTCAATACTCCGAGACGCTAAGATCTTCTAGATAATCAAACCATGTTCATAAAACATGAAAATATCTGGACAATAAAATGTTTTCTGCTGAGGTGTGAAGGAGCTGTAAACCCATGGAGTCATCTCAGTGCATGCAAATGTTCCGGATTTGCCTATGTCCTACTTAGTTGGAATTTGCATTGACCTCTCTAAGCCATCATGGCATACGCTGTTCTACAAGACAAAAGAGTTAATAAAGAAGAGATGTTTCAAAAAATTCAAAAATTCCTATCATGACGAAGATGGCTCAAAAGTATGTAAACCAAAAAAATGTTGTTTATGTGTGAATGGACCTCAAAACCTCACTCACTATTGAAGATGTGGTGGTCCATGAAGGTCACAATGGACTTGTTATCAGCTCCTGGTGGAGTGTTAACCAGAAAAGAAAAGAAGAGAAGAGGTTGGAGACTCCTATAGTGCAGATAGTTGACTGATAAATGGTGATTAGCTCAGAAGGTTTGAAGTTAGAAGGAAAAGAAAATGACTGGAAAAGAAATTGATCACTTATCCTTCCAACTATGGATCAAAATCAAAATCCTGGTGTGCATCATAGCGATCAATTAAACTAAAGATCGATTATCTTTACCGAGGGGGATCGATCAGAAAAGAAATTGATAATTTATCGAAGCACAGATTGATCACTTATCGAAGAATGTATGGCCACCATAAGATGCATCCCTTCGATGCCTGCTCTGCTTTGTGGTGCCTATAGTGGCATTAGCACCCTTGAAATCCCAGCGGTATTAGGAGAACATCGACCTTGTGGTGCTGTGGAGGCCTGCCCCCTTCTTAAAAGCCTCACCCCTTTTCCCTACGGGCAAAATCCTAGGGGAAGTAGCATGCATCCTAAAACCCATGACTACATTAGGGCGCAGCAGGATGGGGTGGAGCACGATGGGGCTGGTTCATTGAACTGTGTAGATATGTTGCTGCTCTATCAGTACAAGAAATAGAAAGAAAGTAATAGTCTGAAGGCAAACAGTAACAAACAGTAACAGATTACAGGACACGCCCACACAAGTCAACCCAAAACCAAACCAAACCAACTCAATCCGCACAAAACAAAGAAGTATGAAATGACCCTCACCGTGCGCTTCTTCTCCTCCTCTTCCTGGATCTTCAGCTGCAGCTTCCTCACCATCACCTGCCGCTTCCACTCCGGGATGGGCCTCCCCTGCTCATCATGGGTGGGGATGAGGGATTCGATATCCAGCTGGCTGCTCTGCATTGGAGCCGACGGGGCAGAATTCCCGTTTACTATGGGCTCCGATGGCTTTCTTATCGCCCCACTGGTCAGGATGGTGGAGTTCTCGGGGGGCGTGACTGGGGAGGTCGGAGGAGGGGGTCGATGGAGACTGAACCTCTGGCTGTAAAAAAGAAGAATAATCGTAAGACTAAAATTATTATTAAATGAATAATAATACATGAATAATAATACATGAATAATAATACATTATTAATACTACTGCTACTAATAATAATAATAATAAAATACTACTACTACTAATAATACATTAATAATAATTATACTACTACTACTAATACATTAATACTACTACTACTACTACTACTACTACTAATACATTAATACTACTACTACTACTACTACTACTACTAATACATTAATACTAATACTACTACTACTACTACTACTAATACATTAATACTACTACTACTACTACTAATACATTAATACTACTACTACTACATAATACTAATACTACTACTACTACTACTACTAATACATTAATACTACTACTACTACATTAATAATACTACTACTACTACTACTAGTACATTAATACTAATACTACTACTACTACTACATTAATACTAATACTACTACTACTACTACTACTAAACTATACATTATTAATAATAATAGTACTACTACTACTACTAATAATAATAATACATTAATAATACTACTACTACTACTAATACATTAATACTACTACTACTACTACTACTACTAATACATTAATACTAATAACTACTACTACTACATTAATAATACTACTACTACTACTACTACTAAACTACTAATACATTAATACTACTACTACTACTACTACTACTACTACTACTACATTAATAATACTACTACTACTACTACTACTACTACACATTAATAATACTACTACTACTACTACTACTAATACTAATACATTAATACTAATACTACTACTACTACTACTACTACTACTACTATACATAATACTAATACTACTACTACTACTACTACTACTAATACATTAACTACTAATACTACTACTACTAATACATTAATACTAATACTACTACTACTACTACTACTACTAATACATTAATACTAATACTACTACTACTACTACTACTAACTACATACATTAATACTACTACTACTACTACTACTACTAATACATTAAATACTACTAATACTACTACTACTAACTACTACTACATACTAATAATACTACTACTACTACTACTACTAATAATACATTAATACTAATACTACTACTACTACTACTACATTAATACTACTACTACTACTACTACTACTACTAATACATTAATACTAATACTACTACTACTACTACTAACTAATACATTAATACTAATACTACTACTACTACTACTACTAACTACTAATAATACATTAAAAAATAAAAAAAAATAATAATACTACTACTACTACTAATACATCAATACTAATACTACTACTACTACTACTACTAATACATTAATACTAATACTACTACTACTAATACATTAATACTAATACTACTACTACTACTACTACTACTACTACTACTATACATTAATACTAATACTACTACTACTACTACTACTAATACATTAATACTACTACTACTACTACTACTACTAATACATTAATACTAATACTACTACTACTACTAAATACATTAATACTAATACTACTACTACTACTACTACATACTAATACTTACTACTACTACTACTACTACTAACTACTAATACTAAATACTAATAATACTACTACTACTACTACTACTATACTATAAATACATTAATACTAATACTACTACTACTACTACTAATACTAATAATACATTAATAATAATACTACTACTACTACTAATACATCAATACTAATACATTAATACTACTAATACTAATAATACATTAATAATAATACTGCTACTACTAAGGCTCCATGCACACTAGTAATTTTTTTCTGCTCTTAAAAGCTAAATAGTGTTCTCCTCGGTGTCCATGCACATTACTTTAGGCTTTTAGCATTTTTTGAGCTTCAGCTTCTAGGAGCAGAAATATGTATAGATCCAACAGTTTGCGCAGTACTTTATTACTAATAATAATACTAATAATACAATACTACTACTAATAATAATACAAATAATATCATCATCAATTATAAAAACAACAATACTATTACTGCTACCAGAAATATGCAGAATCTATACAGTCTAATGCTTTGAAAGAGAATTAATACTGCCAGGTTTCATCTTTTGTATTTTTTAATCGCCATTACAATTAAAATCTCTGTCTTTGGTGTCCGTTTGTGAACCAGCGGTAATAGATCGCTGCTCAGTTCTCCGGCATTCTCGGAGAACACAGTTCTCCTGTGAATGCAGTTTATGAAGCAGTTCTCCGAACGAAGGGAGAACGGTCTCCAAACGCTGGAAAACGGCTGATTTTACTATAGTCTTTCCAGATTACAGTAAAAGATCAGTTTACTAAACAGAGGTAAATTATCTCTGCTTAGTTTGCGGTCCCTCTGATTCTCCAGCTCTGGGCTGGAGAATCTGGAGGGAGAACACAGATCTCCAGAGAAGGGCTGACATGATCTCCTGAGTGTCATAAACTGTGAATGACCAGAGAATAGCTGAGATCTGTTGAATCGCAGCTATTCTCTGTGTCATAAACGGACACCATAGTCCCCTCTTATATCAGGATCCCTATCAGACCCCCCTCACTTATATCAGGGTCCATATCAGAGCCCCCCCCATATCAGGGTCCCTATCAGAGCCTCCCCTTATAATCAGGGTCCATATCAGAGCCCCCCCCTTACATCAGGGTCCCTTTCAGAACCTCCCCTTATAATCAGGGTCCATATCAGAGCCCTCCCACCTTATATCAGGGTCCCCATCAGAGGCCCCTTTTATCAGGGTTTCCATCAGGGTCCTCCCCTTACATCAAGGTCCCCATCAGATCCCCCCCTCTGTCAGGGACCCCATCAGAGACCCCTTATATCAGGGTTCCAACAGAGCCCCCCTTTTATTAGGATCCTCATCAGAGCCCCCCTTATATCAGGGTCACCAATAGAGCCCCCCCTCATATCAGGGTCCCCATTAGAGTCCTCCTTACATCAGGGTCCCCATCAGAGGCCCCTTTTATCAGGGTTTCCATCAGGGTCCTCCCCTTACATCAAGGTCCCCATCAGATCCCCCCCTCTGTCAGGGACCCCATCAGAGACCCCTTATATCAGGGTTCCAACAGAGCCCCCCTTTTATTAGGATCCTCATCAGAGCCCCCCTTATATCAGGGTCACCAATAGAGCCCCCCCCTCATATCAGGGTCCCCATTAGAGTCCTCCTTACATCAGGGTCCCCATCAGAGTCCCTCCTTTTATATGGGCCCTATCTGAATCCCCCCTACATCAGGGTCCCCATCAGACTTCCCCCTTACATCAGGGTCCTCATCAGTCTCCCCCCTTACATCAGGGTCCTCATCAGACTCCCCCCCCTTACATCAGGGTCCCTATCTGGGTCCCCCTTACATCAGGGACCCCATCAGAGCCCCCCTTTATATAATGATCCCCATCAGAGTCCCCCCTTACATCAGGAGCAGAGACCATAGGCAGCCTCTGCTGACCTTAAGCCTCAATCAGTACACATTGAGGGGTACACTATGTACACAGTACACTATGACCCGTGTCCGGGGTCCATCCACTGATGTATGTTGGGCTTTAGAACCACAATGCAACCAATCATCCCATGCAACCTTTCTTGTAAGCCAATGACCCTAGCTGGGGGCCGGATAAAATCTTGTAGGGGGCTGAATGTGGCCCGTGTACCATAGCTTGGAGATCCCTGGGCTAATGAATGATGTACCATCAGTAGCATGAGATCACCGTACATTTGTTCCTTGCTGTCCACTGCCTGAGAAGATGGTGGTGAGGCCTTTGCTATGTGGAGTGGGTTTTAGGCTTTTCCCGGCTTTAATTTCTGCCAGCAGCTCCGAGTTGTCACCGGTTGGGGACATCATGTTGAAGGACTTTGTACCTACAGGAAGAGCAATCATTGTTAGATATCACAAAAGCCGTGTCCTCCATAAATCTACAATCTTGACTGTATGTTCCACAATCCACCAACAGAGACAGATCCTGACTATGACCCGTGATCCACTGATGTATGTTGGGCTTTGGAACTACAATGCAACCAATCATCCCATGCAACCTTTCTTGTAGCCACGTCCTGTCTGCATGCACTCCGGCAATGGCTGCACGGCCTTACTGAGGACGGGTTTCCTGAAGGTGACAACAGTGGACCATGTCTGCGTAATGTGTGTTGGAATGGTCTCCATGGGAAGCCCGCATGACACCTTGTATGAGAGATCGGGCTTACATCTTCTTTAAGCACTTCCTTACCGCGCTATAGAGGAATGATGGCAACAGTGCGGACATCCAGTTCAGGGAGGGCATCATATGACGTCCTCCAAGAACGAGCACCCTGTGGCACGCATCCGGCGCTGTCTGTGATCGATGTGTCCTTTGGACACAGCTGATCATATGGCATAATAAAAGGCCAATAACAGCGGCCTTTACCACGTGATCAACCGTGTCCAATCACAGCTGATTACCATGTAAATACACTTGCTGGTTATCGGCAGTGACTCCCAATAACCGGCAACTGTGAAAAGAGGACATCTGAACTGGTTATCATTGAAGCTCCAAAAGTGCCCAACAGTGCTGCCCATCAGTGCCCAGTAGTGCTTCCCAGCAGTGCCCAACAGTGCTGCTCAGCAGTGCCACCAATCAGAGCCTCCTATCAGTGCTATAAGTCAGAGCTGCAAGTCAGTGCCCTTCAGTGCAGCATCATCAGTGCCTCCTCATCAATGTCCACCAGTGCTGCCACATCAGTGCAGCCTATCACTGCCCATCAGTGCTGCCTATCAGTGCCGCCTCATCTACGCTGCCTATCAGTGTTCATCAATGCTGCCTATCAGTTCCCATCAGTGCCTCCTCATCAATGTCCACCAGTGCCACCACATCAGTGCAGCCTATCAGTTCCCACCAGTGCTGCCTATCAGTGCCGCCTCATCAATGCTGCCTATCAGTGCCCATCAGTGCTGCCTATCAGTGCCTCCTCATCAACACACATCAGTTATGGAGAAAAATTACCTGTTTGCAAAATGTTATATTAGAAACAAGAAAAACTTTTTTCTCCCCAAACCTTTTGCTCTTTTTTGTTTACAGTTCAAAAAAATAAAAAAGAAGAACACAGTTGTGATTACATACCATGGGGTTTTTGTGTGAAAAAAATTATAAACATTTCATACGGGCGCAGTGTTTCATGACCGCGCAATTGTCATTCAAAGTGCGACAGCGCCGGAAGCTGAACATTGGCCTGGGCAGGAAGGGGGGGGGGGGACAGTGCCCGGTACTGAAGGGGTTAAAGCCACACACACAGTACACAGTGACCCCAGGAAATGCTGCTTTATAACTCATCGGACAGAAATTAGCGTCTAACATCTTTCTTCACTCATAAATATTTGTCTGGATGGAGAACGAGTGGGATGGAAAATTCACTTGCAGCGCAATCAGATTTGTATTTATAGAGTGCCTGTCTCTGTACGCTGTGCAGCTCAATCGGCATGTTTGCCACTACTACCTCCTCCCCTCTCCACCTGTCATTGGTTGCTAAGCAGGCAACCGAATGTCCCCTAGCAACCGGTGAAGCTGACAGTGGGCAAAGCAGACAGTAAACTGCTGAGCCGCGGGGCAGCCGCCCCTCCTGCCCAACCTTGTCCTCAGGATGCATTGAGGATTCACGTGGTGGCTCAGGATGCATTGAGGATGCATGTGGTGACTTAGGATGCATTGAGGATGCACGTGGTGGCTCAGGATGCATTGAGGATGCACGTGGTGGCTCAGGATGCATTGAGGATGCACGTGGTGGCTCAGGATGCATTGAGGATGCATGTGGTGGCTCAGGATGCACGTGGTGGCTTAGGATGCATTGAGGATGCATGTTGTGGTTCAGGATGCATTGAGGATGCATGTTGGGGCACAGGATGCATTAAGGATGCACGTGGTGGCTCAGGATGCACGTGGTGGCTCAGGATGCATTGAGGATGCATGTTGTGGCTCAGGATGCATTGAGGATGCATGTTGTGGCTGAGGATGCATTGAGGATGCACGTGGAGGCTCAGGATGCATTGAGGATGCACGTGGTGGCTCAGGATGCATTGAGGATGCATGTGGTGGCTCAGGATGCACGTGGTGGCTTAGGATGCATTGAGGATGCATGTTGTGGTTCAGGATGCATTGAGGATGCATGTTGGGGCACAGGATGCATTAAGGATGCACGTGGTGGCTCAGGATGCACGTGGTGGCTCAGGATGCATTGAGGATGCATGTTGTGGCTCAGGATGCATTGAGGATGCATGTTGTGGCTGAGGATGCATTGAGGATGCACATGGAGGCTCAGGATGCATTGAGGATGCACGTGGTGGCTCAGGATGCATTGAGGATGCACGTGGTGGCTCAGGATGCATTGAGGATGCACGTGGTGGATCAGGATGCATTGAGGATGCACGTGGAGGCTCAGGATGCATTGAGGATGCACGTGGTGGCTCAGGATGCATGTGATGGTTCAGGATGCATTGAGGCTGCACGTGGTGGCTCAGGATGCATTGAGGATGCACGTGGTGGCTCAAGATGCATTGAGGATGCACGTGGTGGCTCAGGATGCACGTGATGGCTCAGGATGCATTGAGGATGCACCTTGTGGCTCAGAATGCATTGAGGATGCACGTGGTGGCTCAGGATAAATTGAGGATGCACGTTGTGGCTCAGAATGCATTGAGGATGCATGTGGTGGCTCAGGATGCATTGAGGATGCACGTTGTGGCTCAGAATGCAATGAGGATGCATGTGGTGGCTCAGAATGCATTGAAGATGCACATGATGGCTCGGGATGCATGTGGTGGCTCAGAATGCATTGATGACGCACATGATGGCTCGGGATGTACGTGGTGGATCAGGATGCATTGAGGATGCACGTGGTGGCTCAGGATGCATTGAGGATGCACCAGGTGGCTCAGGATGCATTGAGGATGCACGTGGTGGCTCAGGATGCATTGAGGATGCACGTGGTGGCTCAGGATGCATTGAGGATACACGTGGTGGCTCAGGCTGCATTGAGGATGCACGTGGTGGCTCAGGATGCATTGAGGATGCACGTGGTGGCTCAGGATGCATTGAGGATGCACGTGGTGGCTCAGGATGCATTGAGGATGCACATGGTGGCTCAGGATGCATTGAGGATGCACATGGTGGCTCAGGATGCATTGAGGATGCAACCCCCCCCCCCCCCGGGACGTGGTGTTTGCCCCAGACACCATCCTGGAAAATATGAACCGTGGCGTGTAAAAATAATCCGCACCCTACAACCCCAATCCACCATCGCCTCCATACCAGCCAAGACTACTGTTCATCTTTTGCTCCCAGCACCCAGTCCTGTTTCTCAGTAGAAAGCACATCAACCAAACCGATGGGCGCCATTGTGTCAGACGCACCCTCCAGGCGTGCTAACTAGCCGCTGAGCTTTTTTTTTTTGTCGTCCTCATTGTGTCTGATGACCGCGGGCCAGTCAGACATCTGTAAATGTGCGCACGCCAGCCGCGCCGCGCTAAATTATGTACAACTGGTAACTGACAATGTTTTTACCTGTTTATTGGCGACGTGACAGGTGGAGGATCAGCTCATGAAAATTTAAAGAACCGTCACAGGAAAAAAATATTGTATTCTAGTAACTTTATTGGGATCATAGTGATGGCGGGATTCAATATCGTTTTTTTATTACATGGCTGTTTTTCCTTTTCTTTACATTATTTTGCAGACCAAGTTGTCCAGCAAAAGGGACAGTTACAGGGGTCAGGACATTCCACATAATACTGACAGGGGGGCTTACAACAGTTTCAATGGGAAATGGCGCCCTATAGACTTCAATGGGAAATAGTGCCCCATAGACTTTGATGGGAAATCGCACCCCATAGATTTCATTGGCAAATGGTGCTCCACAGACTTCAGTGGGAAATGGCGCCCCATAGACTTCAGTGGGAAATGGTGTCTTTGTGTTCTGACAAGGGTTAGGACATTCCACAAAATACTACCAGGGGGGCTTACAACAGTTTCCTTTAATCCCAATTTGCACTGTAGTACTGTTAGTGCTTAAAAATGATAGTTAAAGGAGGAGTCGACAAATGCCAGGCGCCATAGGCCCAATGGGAAATCACGCCCTATAGACTTCAATGGGAAATAGTGTCCTGTAGACTTCAATGGGAAATAGTGCCCCATAGACTTCAATGGGAAATGGAGCCCCATAGACTTCAATGGGAAATGGAGCCCCATAGACTTCAATGGAAAATGGAGCCCCATAGACTTCAATGGGAAATCGGGCTCTATAGATTTCAAGGGGAAATAGTGCCCCATAGACTGCAATGGGAAATGGCACCCCACAGACTTCAATGGGAAATCGCGCCCTATAGATTCACTGTGAAATCATGCCCTATAGACTACAATGGGAAATCACACCCCATGGATTTCGCTGGGAAATGGTGCCCCACAGACTTCAATGGGAAATGGCGACCTATAGACTTCAATGGTAAATAGTGCCCCATAGACTTCCATGGGAAATCGCACCCCATAGATTTCATTGGCAAATGGTGCTCCTCAGACATCTATGGAAAATGGAGCCCCACAGACAGCAATGGGAAATGGTGCCCTATAGACTTCAATGGGAAATAGTGCCTAATAGACTTCGATGGGAAATCGCACCCCATAGATTTCATTGGCAAATGGTGCTCCACAGACTTCAATGGGAAATGGAGCCCAATAGACTTCAATGGGAAATCGCTCCCCATAGACTTCAGTGGGAAATGGTGCCTTTGTGTTCCCGACAGGGGTCAGGGCATTCCACATAATACTACCATTACAACAGTTTCCTTTAATCCCAATTTGAACAAGAAAGTTCTATTGGTGCTTAAAAATGATAGTTAA